ACTTCCTTACATCCTTTGAAATCCTCTAGGTCAGTTCCATATCATTTAGCAGATTGTTGTTATGCTCATTAACTCTTTGCAAAATGATAGAATGTGCGTTCCTGGTGGACAGGAACCAGAATTTTTACCTTTCTCTCTATTTTTAACCACCCTGCAGAGTCTATTTAATCTATTTACTCTTAGCTATTTAGAGGTGATTATAACTTTGGTGCACAAAAGAAAATGGTCAACCCTAATGGGGATATTACAGGCATTTTGAAATATAAATGTCTCTCAACAAACTGTTTATTTCCTTGGCATCAAATTCCAATCTTTTGGCCCTCCCTGGTGGCGCAGTGGGTTAAAGCACAGCACTAAGTTCTAAGCTAAAGCCACTTCCATATGATTTTGATCCCTGCCTGCCCTGGAGGTGACCACATGGCCCGGCAGACCTCTCCTGACCTGCCTGCTGCTCCCCTCAGCAGTGTACTTCGTTATCTGCCTGTTCTGCTCCCCACTCTGTCTCCAGTGAGTCCTCTCACTGCCCCTCTACCTCTGGCCTATATCCCAGTTCTGTATGCATAAATGAATAAATCTTAAAAAAAAAAATTCCAACCTTTTGTTTTCAAGGTCTGTGTCACGTGCAGTCCTAGGTACACTGAACCTGTTTACTAGAGACTGTAAGACAAGGGTGCTCAACACACATTTGGTGCATTAAGCTGAAATCTGGGGGAGGTGACGGGGGTAAAGATGGAAAAGGAGAGAAAAGCAAGAAAGTCCTTGTCTGTTTAGCTGACTGATTTTTGTCACATTAGTGTGGAAAAAGAACATTTCTCAAATTTTCATGAGCAAAATGAGGAAAAACAGTAAAACTAGGAAAGCTGTGAGTTTAATTTCAGTTTTTAAATTCAATGTAACCAGTATTTTAAAATCCATGTTAATACTATGTTAAGAGATAAAGAGATTTATGGGTTACCCACAGGACATGGGTCTAAATGGCCTAAAGGACCTTAGTATTTAGTAGGAAGATAATAGTAACAATCAGCTAAAGCTAGCAGACAATTCGTTAAGTTCCATGTTATGTGAGTCAGTCTTTGGAAATTTTAGACATTTGGTACTAGGGGCTATAGAACCAAGACTTCATTTAGCAAATATTTATTGAAAACCTCTTATGATCTTGTAACAGGGTGGTCCCCAGAGAAAGGGGATGTTCCAGGTTACCTGCCCCACCCAGAGGTAGGGTGGAACTGAGAAAGGAGGGAAGAGAATGAATCTGAGAAGGAAGCAGGATGGAGAGCCAGAGGAGACCTGAGGAAGCCACATGGAACAAAGGGAAACATATGAAGAAACCGTGTTTATTTCTTGGCCCTGGACAGGTTAAAACAGACGTGGCAGAGAGGCTCGTGGGGGGGGGTGGTGGTGGTGGTTGTTGACTATGGCAGTGTTTATATTGATTTTGATTTTTCTCTTTTCCTCCCAGACTTGTCTCTCCATTTTTGACGCTTTTCTATGGGTCCCAGCCAGAAGGTGCTTTAGTTTTGTGGCAGGCTTCAGGCCTTGCTTTGGGCCAATCCCTTTTGGGTTGACGTTTACCCACGAGGGGATGGGTAACTTCAGGTGTTTGATTTAGAAATTATATTGTCTTTTGTATTGTATACTTGTTACAGGGCACCCCAATATGGATTAGGTTGCCTGTCTGTGGGTCTTCACCTGCGTGCTTACGATTCAATCGTATTATGGACACACTCAAAAAGGTTAAATAATGGATTTATTTATAAGGAGAAAGGTAAAGGAATAACCCAGGGAAAAAGGGAGAGAAATACAAGTTAACTAGAATGTCCTACCAGTTCTGCTGACTTGGACTCCACCAGCACGCTGAAAACTGATCGAGAACCAAAACATCAGCCTCGAACCACCAGGCCAAAAGACCCCCAGAGCCCACAGGTCAGGTTTTATTCCAACCTGGCTGCTCAGCTCTGCCCTCAAGTCCCAGCGTGCTTCTCCTTGTTACTGATGGGATTAGTAGTTCCAGTATCTGGAGTGGGGGCGGAGTCCATGAAACCTGTACCTGTTACATACTCACTGTATTAAAGTTCCTTTTCATTAAAGTCTTATGTGTTTTGTCTTCATATGGCAGATGGCAGAATTTATTTAGAGCAGGCAGGTTTGGGGGTTCAGAGGTGCCTCTCTCCCTGCCCTGTAACAATCTCTGTAAGAATTTAAGCTTGTAACCCAACAAAGGAAAGTTAAAGAAATAACTGGTACAAGATTGTATTAAATGATCAACAGCAGGATGATGCTTTTGTCACTCAGAAAGAATTATTACTGTATCTTCTGAATAAAAAGGGAGATTGTAAATGATTTAAGGCTGAGACTTGAAAAATGGGCAAGACCTTGAAAAGAATAGAATATCCCAGGCTGAAGGATGAGCATAGTTTGAGGAATATGGTTGGGTGCAACAAGGGAAATTTGAAGGCACATTACTTTTCCATTGCTGTGGTTAATGATGTTGTTTTTTGAATTCGGGGTCCTAGGGTTCACTCTGGGAAGGGTTTCACCAGAGCTTCCCTTTCAGCAGCACATGACTAGATTCTTCACGAGACAAGACTCAGCTATATTTAAAGAGGAAGTTTATTAGAAAGAGACAGGAGAGGAAAAGACACTTGCATATTGGGCAGGAAGATCTGCCTGGAGAGGGACAGGTTTACAGAGAGAGAGACCTTCATGGTTGCAGGCAGGCGGTCTTAGTGTTGGAGCAGCTGGAAGAAAGCAGTCAGGCAACGTGGAGACAGAGATTCAAGATTAATTTGGGCTTCGGAATACCAGCCAGCCAGGACCAACACCCTCTAGAGAGTGTGGCCCCGAGCAGTTATAGAAACCAGTTTGTATATACTACAGGCAAGGAAACAAAACTTAGTTATTACAGAGATAACATTCTTGCAGTGGGCCCTAGGATCCTATGATCTGATCATATGATCCATATCCTGGTCCTGTTGAAGACAGTAATCAATTTAATTAATTTTACAAGTTTTCTTCCTCTTACAGCAAAGTTACTTGGGGAATTTCCTATCTCAGCAAGCAGCAAGCAGGCTACAGAAGCAGAAAAGGCAGTTAGCACAAAATGGCGTTAGCTTGGTTCAATACAGGTCCAACATTAGGAGAGTGGCCTCTGCTGAGGGAGATCAGTGCAGAGAAGTCCTGCATGGTACAGGTCATAGACAGGCTGGGGGCCATGGGGAGGCAGGAGACTGCTGCCCGCAGAGGGAGAGTGGGTAGAAGCACCTGCATAGGCACAGGTCTCAGAGGTGGTGGCCCCATGCTGGTGGAGAGATGGCCCTGACATAGACTCCTTCTCTCTGGGAGGGGCTCACTCCTTGTGAGCCTAGGTTTGTTGACTTTGAATAGAATCTGAGGGGACCAGAGATTCTCTAGGGAGCTTCATCTCCATCTCCGTGTCCTAATCTTCCCCTGGGTGCCAGGCATCCTGGCTTTGGTGCCTGAGGATCTTGATTTTATGGCTGTGTCAACTGCTGCCCTAGCCCCTTCTACCTATCCCCTTTGTGTGACTCAGTCTTGTGATACCTCCCCTGCATTCCTTCCTCCATCAGTAATGAATAATGAGCTGCCATACTTTTAAGCTATACATTTTTACTATCTTATAATTCTGTAGGTCAAGTTCCAACACAAATCTCATCGGGATTAATTTACCACCTTGACAAGGCTGTGGTCCATTCTAAAAGCTCTAGGATGATGCCTTTCCTTGTTGTTTTCTAGCTTCTAGAGGTCACCACAGTCCTGACTAGTGCCCCCACCTTTCTTTTTTATTTCTAAAACCAGCAATGTTGCATCTGTGTAATCATTCTGTCACAGTCACATCTCTCTCTTCACTCAACTTTTCTGCTTTTTTCAGATTTGAAGGCCCCTGTAATGACAATGACCCCACTCAATCCAGGCCAGTCTATGTTAAGATTGTGAGCCACCTAAATTGCCCTTTGAAGTGAAACTGAACATATTTACAGGGTTTTGGGAATAAGGAGATCTTAGGGAGTAGGGTGGGTATTCAGCCTACCAGGTAGCAAAGAAGAGTTAATCTAAGGAAGAAAGAAGAAGAGAAAGAGGTGTGGATGCATTGGTAAGGGCAATGGGGAGCAGGCAGACTTTTTGAGACCTTGACATATATTCTCATTTTTAAAACGTTTTAACTGGAGCATAGAAAGCTGTTTCGACAGACAGTTTTGGGGAGCAACATAAGGCCGCTATTATAGTGGAGTTGAGAAGGTCTGAGACAGGGAGCACATAGCTAATTCTTTTTAATTGTCGTGTGCCTGCCTTTTTAACTGTGGGTCATGCCTGTTGACAGTACTGCATCCCTGTGCCTCCAGTCGTCTTTCTGGTTTTAATGTTTTCCTCTCAAAACTCACGACATCTATCCACAGGATCTCAGGAAGGGCAGTTTCTGGTACTTTGGCTGAATTTGTTACATAGATGCTATCACCCAGGACTTAAATCATTCACCTACAATCAAAGATTAGAGACCAGAATCGTGGCAAACCCTCAACTAGCAAGGCTGAATGAGGCTCAGAAAGTAGAATACTGAAATTTTAAGTAGTCCAAGTCAGGGAAATCATGCAGTCCTGTTCCTAAGTGGTTTCTTTAACACCCCCACAAAACTAGAAAGCTCAGCCAGGCCAGCGAGAACAAAGGCTGACTGCTCGCCCGGACCCGGACCCGGCTCCGAGCGCTCCCCGTCCGCCGCTTCCAGTCCCGCCTCCCCCCTCCCCTCCCCCGCCACCGCATTCGGGTCGCAGGCACGCGACCTCAGCGTAGCCCAAGCTACTGCTTCGGCGTCGTCGACCCACAGATACGTCAGTGCAGAATCCGCGGCGCGCCGGGAGCGTCGGAGGGGTGAGGAGGTGGTGGGCGGAGCAGAAAACTGGGAAGTGGGCTCGAGATCACGTGCGACGAGCCCCACTCTTCCGGTCCGTCACTTCCGCGTGCGACTGCCGCTGCTGTCCGGCCCAGAGCTGGGCTCGTTAGGTGCTTTCTTCTGACCCCTTACGGTCCGCACGACGGCCCTTCCCGGGTCCGGGCGGGAGGGACATGAGTGTCTCGCGGCCGCCGTCTCCCAAGGGGGCCCTGGCCGGGTCACCCGACGGCCGGGCAGTCGGGGAGCAGACGCCGGGTACGTGACCCTAGGCCGAGTCGGGGGGCTGGTCTCCGGCGCTGCCCCGAGGGAATAAACCTAGGAGCAGCTCCGGCGCCGGCGCGGAAGTGGGCAACCGCGTTGGCCTGTTTCCAAGCGCGACAGGCGGGAAAGGAGGTCTGAAAGGGAAGCGGTGTTTGGGGCGCTGTTGGAGGCTTTCTGAGGAGTTTGTGTGTTGGCACCTGCACATCGTTGATTATTTCTCCTACGTTAGTGATTGAGGGTGAATTTGTCAGAAAGTTGATTGGTCACTGGTCATTCAGATAATTGGTGTGTCCAGTATGAGTGACCAGTAACTTGGGAAATCCCGTCGTGCCTGTTGACAGTACTGCATCCCTGTGCCTCCAGTTCTTTCTCAACCCCAGTTGTAGATGCAAGTTAAGACCTAAAGCATTCATCGAATGATTTACTTGCTATGTATCTAGAATGGACTATTACTGCACCGTCTTTTGGAGAATTGAGAAAACCGTCACACAAAGCAGTTTCTATTTTCTGTACTTCAAATGAAGACGTGCCTTAGATAAGAAAAGCTGCACTGCGTTGGAAGTACCCTTTCTTTTACTTCCTGTTCCAGAAATACAGGGTTTACCTCAAAATACTACTGTAAATGATCTCCCCCTTTTCATATCCTCATAAATTGCTCTGTAAATAGAATTTCCTTGTATGTCTGTGCAGTTTGGGCCCCTCTCTTAATTCTTACTTGCTCTTCCATCTGCTTGCAGATTATTTTGAATTGGTTGTTTTGCACTACTCTCACATAGAACAGGTATACAAATAGACCAGACATCTGATCCTGAATAGTGCTAAGTCAGTTTCACTTGAAATTTTGGAATTATTCTTGACTCTTCTCTTGCTTCCTATTTCTTTTTAGTCTAAAGAATTCTACTACATGAATTTCATCTCCTCTTCTTATTTTCACTGTTACAACAATTGTAAGGCTATCCTCCCATCCAGTCTTTTACTCTGGCACAGCTGCCTCACTGCTGTCCTATCACGGACCCTAAGATAAAGTTCCAATTGTGTTGCTTCCTTGACTAGATACTCTGATGGCTTGTTACTGCTTAGTAAGCAAAGGTCCAAACCCATTAGCTTGGCATTCAGGAGTTCTCATAGTTTGACCAGATGGTCTTATACCTCACTAATAATTTGCTCTTGTTCTAGACACCCCAAGTTACCTTCTCTTTCCAGACTAATCCTCTATTTCTACTTTTCTACTACTGTTTTCTTTACCCCTATTAAATTCCTTTCATTCCAGTCTTAAAACTCTTAAACATGGAAATAGTAATGCTTACAAATTGCTGGAGGGGACTGCATATCTGTGCAGTCTTTTAGGAAGGTAGCTTTGCATGTTAGGAAGTGCCAGATCTTGGTGTCAGCAGATTAGGTTTCTGGTGAGGAACCTCTTCCTCTCGAACATGGATGTTTTCTGTCAGTGCCTGACTTGTAGAGGGAGAGCACTCTTGGTTTCTCTCCCCCTTTTTTTTTAAAGATGCTAATCTCATCATGGGGATTCTCCCTCATGACCTCAGCTAATACGCCATACGCCACCTCCAAAGCTTACCTTGAGGGTTGGGCCTTCACTGTATGAATTTGGGGGAGAGGGACAGGATACAAACATTCAATTCATAATGGGCTAGTTAAATGAAATATGGTAAAATTCTGTTCTGTTGAAAATGCAGTAGATCCAGGTAGATATGGACAAATAGCTAGGATATTTAAGGGAAAAGTTACAGAACAGTATGAATATTAGTTATGCGATTAAAAACAGGATTTATGCATAGGTGTGAAAAGACATTTTTTATGGTACCTCCCTTCCCCTGAGGTTACGTAAGAAACTCCAGAATGATTTATGGAGTAAGAAAATGAGAAAGGAATATTTTTCCTTTCAGCTTATGCTTGCCCACCCCCTTTTGTATTTTAAATTTTTATAATTAGTAAGTCTTAAGAGAAAATGAAAAGTCCATTCACTTTTGAAGCCACAGCTTAAATGTGCACACTTCCTTAAGGAATTGTTATTAGGCTTCCCTGATAAAAATGATCGTCCTTGTATCTCTAATGGTGCTTTTCACATTCTCTGCTTCCCTTGTATTGAGCAGTTTTAGGGGAGTTCCTAATTTATTGTAACCTCAGAATCTAGTGTGTATACACACACACACACACACAGCAGGTATGTCTTGTATGGCTAGGGTAGGGACTTTTTCCTTACTCTTCCATATAAAGTATCTTGACTTTAGTAACTAAATGTAGATACTTGTGTAGCTAGACTCTTCTAAAATTAGCCAGCAGACTGGGATTGTTCTTTATAAAGTGGGCCTGTGAGTTAAAATTTATGTAAATGATAAAAGAGCTGTCTTAGTTGTTATTCTTTATACGTCATTGCATCATTATTTGGGTTTTATGTTTATTCGAAATATTCATTTTTGATATTTTCCTAGAGTAGCTGTTATTTGTACTGTTTAACCAAATCTTAAGCAACAGCATTAATTCTCAGATATAATCTGTTCACATCTATAGATGTTCCACTTTTCACATTACATTTTTACTTCACTTACGGAGTGTTTCTAGTTCTGTCTTACCTGTTTGGCTGTTGCCTGGCAATTTTGAGAACTCCAAAGTTTGTTAATATGTTTCTCAGGACCCAGGTAAAAATTATACTATTTTATTTTGATTGCTGCAAGTTTGAATGTGACAGCATCTTGTTTTCCTTAATCTTGTCAAAATTTATATTTGTGGTAAAAACTGTATATACTTGCAATCCACTCTACGCAATATGTCCCAATAAGTATAGTATACATAATGATCTAACTTGATGTCATTGATTATTACCAGATGATGATTGAAGAGAACTGTGTCAGAGTTTAATATTAGCTTTTAAAAAGAATGCTTTTTAGATTTCAGTAGTAATAATTGACCATCTCACTTTTTTCTCATTCTAATCCAGTAATTCTAAAATCTTACAAACCATTAATTGAACTCTGTCTAGAAATTGTTTTGTGTTTTTTTCTGGTAGTTTAAGGAGTGATTGATGGGTATTTGTTTTAGACATTTTTGTATGCCTGGCACAATGCTTATACTATTATTATTCAAAGAAAAAGTGTGAGGAATAGTTCCTGGCCTCTCATCTGGATTACACACAAGACAGTTATACAGTATTTTCCAAGGTAAATTAAAGTGTTGGATCTCAAGAGAACAGAGATTCCTAGACAACCCTCTCCTCCTCTCTAACAAATGTTATACCCTACTTTTAACATGTAAGTAGTATATCAAACTTTGTAAAATATTGGCCCATATTCTACCATAGAACTAAGAAATACATTTTTTAAGCATTACATTTTAGAAAAATATATAATATTTCAAATTTTCATGCTTTTGAAAATTTGCTTTTATTCATTCATTTCCTCAATTTTATGCTTCAGACATTTTCAGTCACTGAAAACTTGTAGCACTATTTATAATAGGTAAGACTTGGGAACAACCCAAATGTCCAAAATTAGATGATTGGATCAAGATGTGGTATATATAAACAATGGAATATTTATTTAGCAATCAAAAAAGATAAACTCATGCCATTCAGGGCAACATGGATGAAGATAGAAGGGACTATGCTCAGTGAAACAAGTCAGAAGGAAAAAGAAAAATATTGGATGGTTTCACTTACAGGAGGAATATAAGGGAACCAGTAAGGAATCAGGGAAAAAATAATAACAAAAGAACACAACACAACAAAAATAGACCACTATAAATCAGACATTCTCGGGAGGGATGGGAGTTTGATCAAAACGAGGGCAGGAAGAGCACAAGGGACTGCCGTGATGGTGCACAGGTGTTTTGATGGTGGAAATTCTGTGGGGACTACACCTGATAATACAATATATATAAAGAAAGAAAATTTAAAAAGTCACTGAAAAATACAAGTCTGATCTGAAAAATACACATACAGAATTTTGCACACGTTAATTTTTTAACCTAGTCTGACTTACACTTGTAGCTTAAAAACAACTTTTTGAGGACTTATAACCTGTTTCTAGAGAACATCCAGAAGGTAAGAAAGTTAAAAAAGAAAAGGATACCTTCAGTATATGTGCTCCAAACCTCACCGCCAGCCTCCTCCTCTCCTTCCTTACCTTCTGTTCTCTTTGTGTCAATTTAAAAGCTTCCTAAATTTGATTTTTGTTTGGGATCAGGTTTAAGTGACACTTCTCCAGATGAAGGGCTAATAGAAGACTTGACTGTAGAAGACAAGACTGTAGAAGACAAAGCTGTGGAGCAATTGGCAGAAGGATTGCTTTCTCACTACCTGCCTGATCTGCAGAGATCAAAACAAGCGCTCCAGGAACTCACGTGAGCTAACAAAAAGCATAGATGCAATCATTTGCTCTCTGTCATAACCATACTTTACTGTATAAGTGTGTAATATTTTGTAACAATTAATGAAATTGAATCTATTTTAGTGATATCAGCTGGAGTGGATGGTTAATCTCAATTCCTGACACCCATTTTAAGAAGCATCTAATATTATACCATTTTACAGTTCAGGAAACAGCTTCAGAGAAGTTAAGTAACTTGAAAAATACTTCCTAGTGATAGAAATAACAGTTAAACAGCTGAATATGATCAATAAGCAGTTCTTAATGTTTCCTGAGAATTAAGAGAAGGTAATAAGCAAATTTTAGAGAAAGGAAAATGTTTCCTGGTAGCTGCTGTTTTTCCCCTTTTACCCACAATTTTCATGATTAATAGATATAGGGAATAGAGCACTAGCATGAGAGGCATCTAGGTTTTAATCCTGACTCATCAAACAGTTTGATCTTCATTAAGATTACCTTTGAGGGCCCCCTCCAGATGGCGCAGGGGTTAAAGTCATCACTGTTAAGCTATTGGCAGCCAGTGCAGCAAGAGTTCTATCCAGGGAGTTTTCCCTCATGGCCCAGCACATTTCTCCTGTCTCACCCACTGCTCCCCTCCCCAGTGTGTTTCAATAGACCTGCCTGTTCTGCTCCCTGCTCTGTCTCTGGTGTGAATCTTTCTCCCCCCTCCCCTCACACCTCTGGGCTACAACCCAGTTCTTGTGTGCGTAAATAAATAAATCTCTTTAAAAAAAAGATTATTATTGAGAGGCAGGCCTAAAAAGGTGGGGAAAGTAATGGTTAGATGGAAATTAAATGTACTTTGTAGCTAATAATGGGCAAGGAAAACCAAGAACAAATTTTATTTTTATATATAGGGAATTATTGTTTTAATAATATAGTAGTTTATCTTTACATCATTTTGTGCCTTTTTCCATCTCAGTTGTAATCCCCGTGGGCTTCCCATTACCAAGTCACCCATGTGTCATCACCATAGTCCAGTGCACTTCCCCCTCACCCCCCATTTTTGATCCCATTTACCACTCCACACCCGTAAAATGTCTCTGGTATATAGTTGTTCATTATTATTATTATTTTCTCCCCTGGTCCTTTATAATTTTGCTATGAGTGAAAATATCTGGTATTTTTCCTTTCTTTCGGGCTTATTGCACTAATATGATCCCTTATATGTAGGAAATGATTTTTTTAATGTGAATTTGTCATTATAACAACGTTGGAAATAAAGGAAAAAGAGGTTTTTTGGATCCAGATCCCTAATATTAGTGAGGGAAGTATAATTGTGAATAGCCTCAGAGGAGCTTCCTGAGACAACTCCAGCCTTGGACCTTCTAAGAAAACAGCTTTTCCTCAGTGGATCATTCCTCAGATATTTTATCAACACTTCATAATCATGTTCAGTATATTTACTACAGATTATACAAAATTTGAAGGGAAAGAAAGCTTACTCATTTCTGTCCCACTATATTTTAGCTAGATATCCTCGGGAACTTACTTTTAGAGTGTCCAGATTTATGGATCATGAAAGCTGTTCCTCATAATTATAGTTTTATTATCAAGAACACAGATTAAGCATGATCTTTTGGAACTGGAAAAGGTCATGCTTAGTGAAATAAGCCAGAAAGAAAAAGAAAAACACCAGATGGTTTCACTCAGCAATAAAATAAAAAAGGTCATCCACTAACAACTATAAACCAGAGACATTCTACTGACGAGGAGAGGGGAACAGGATCAAAACGGGGTGGGAAGAGCAAATGGGACTATGGTGATGTCACATGTTGAAGTGGTGGGAAGTTCATAGGGATTACAACTGAGATGAAAAAATGCAAGATGAAGAGTTATGTAAAATATATCTGTGTGTGTGTGTATATATAAGAACACAGATTAGCATTGACCAAATGAAGAGAATAAAGAGACAGAGGGGAAAGTCTGGAAAAGTCCCAACCCTAGAACATCTGTGGCCTCTTCTAGTGCAGCTAGGGTGCGTCACCTTCATGGTACCTTGATGTGTTCACCATTCTCAAAGTGCCACTGTTCTTTGGTGTCCAGAGTTACTGGGGTTTCATTACATAGGAGTAATTGATTGGGCTGTTGGATGTGTAATTTAACTCAATTTCCAGCCCCACTTCCTTCTCTGGAGTATAAGCTTTTAAAGGTGGGTTTGAAACTCCCAATTCTCAAAGCTGGTGGCATGACCAGTCTGTGTTCTAAAGCTTTAGGGGCCTCCATTAGCATAAAGTGTGAACCAAACAACTTATAAATAACAAGGATATACTTAGTATTTGGGAAACTCTAAGGACCTTAGCAGTGCCAAGTCAGGAGCCTGAACTAAAGTTCAGACAAGTTCTTAATTCTACAACATAGATTTTACATCTGTTTTCATGAAAGATAATGGTCTGTAGATTTCCTTTCTTATAATGTCTTTATCTGATTTTGGTTTTAGGGTAATGGCTGGCCTCATAGAATGAGTTAGGAGGTACTTCCTCTGCTTCTGTTTTCTGGAAGAGATTTTGAGAATTGATATATTGTTTCCTTCAGTATTTGGTAGAAATCACCAGCCCTGTCTAGCCCTGACACTTTTGTTTCTGGAACATTATTTCTTAATGATTTAACTTCTCTAAGAGAGATAGACCTGCTTAGATTATCTGTGTAATTTTGTGTCTTTCAAGAAACTAGTCATTTCTACCAGAGTTACCAAATTTGTAGACAGAGTTGTTGACAGTATCCCTTTATTACCTTTTTAGTGTCCATAGGATTAGTAGCAGTGAGCCTATAAATTATATTAGCATTCATGTTGTCTTTCTTTTGTTTTTTAATTCGTAAGTCTGAATAGAGGTTTATAGATTTTATTGATCTTTTGAAGAACTAACTTTGGGTTTTGCTGATTTTTTTTTTCTGTTGTTTTCCATTATAATAGTCAGTTTTTGCTGCCCTGCTTATCTTGAAACATTGACTTGTTGGGTTCCTTGCTCATCTTTTATCTGTTTCACTTTCTGTAGTCTTTAGTGAGAGCAGAGGGGTCAGACTTGTGTGTGATGTGTGAGATATGCTTAGTTCAGTGCTGGATGGGGATGCTGGAACCCCTTTTCAGTTTCTTCATAGCTATTTTTTTTTCTGTCACTGTTCTCTGTTTAACAGTTTTAGAAGCAAATCACATCTTACTTTTCTTTGTATATAGTATTCTTTAAAATCTTCAACTGGGTGACCTATTGGTATCTGTTATTCCTGAGATCCTAGCATTGGCTTGAATCAGAATTTTTTTTTAAAGATTTATTTACTTAATGTAAGCAGAACTGGGGTACAGGCCAGAGGTGCAGGAGTGGTGAGAGGATTCACCAGAGACGGCATGGGGAGCAGAACAGGCCGACTGACAACCTACACTGCTGAGGGGAGTGGTGGGCAGGTCAGGAGATGTCTGCAACGCCATGTGGATCACCTCCAGGTTGCGGATCAAACTCATGTTGAAGTGACTTTAGCTTCTTTGTGTTGTGCTTTAACCGGATGCGCCACCAGGGAGAGCCCCTGAATTAGAATTTTAATGAGGAGCTTTAGACATTATCTGGTCTGATAGTCTCATTTTATAAATGAAGACATGTAGGCCTAAAAAAATGCTTAATTTTCAATCACACAACTGGTTATTGGTAAGAGGTTGTGAATCTGTACTGCTTTTTTCATTTTGTTATTTTTTCCTTTTGACTTATCTTTCCCGTCTTCAATTTGAACAGTTAATGTCTCTTCAGTTTTCTTACAGGAATGTTGCAATTTATTATTTTTTAATTTCTTGGGTAAAATCATGTAAAAACTTTTGGGTAATATAGTGAGCTGCTAAAAATAATGTTAAATGATTTGACTATTTTAGTTTTTAGAATCAGAAATTTGAGCAAGAATGAAAGACAAATTTAGTTACCAAAATATAACTTTGGAATATTATTTTGAAAACATTATGTTAAAATAGATAACCCTTGGAAAAGTTAATAAATTTTCAGCTTAATTTTTAACTTTTAACATTAACCAGGAGTAATATGTTTCCTTTTAATGAATGAACACTTATAATTATGTACAATTTATTTTCCATCTGTGCTTTTATTTCAGACAGAACCAAGTTATATTATTAGACACACTGGAACAAGAGATTTCAAAATTTAAAGAATGTCATTCTATGTTGGATATTAATGCTTTGGTAAGTATGATTTAATTGGTGTAGCTTAATGGTAGTTTGTTTTAGAAATAGCTATGTTTGTCCTCCTGACTTGGTACTTATTTATGTATGTTTAGGATTTTTTTTTTTCTCATTGCTAAAATTTAGGATTATCTTTTTTTTTTT